TTCCATGAACATGACACAAAAGGGCAGTATTGTAATATATTTTAACCTTTTATCCTTAAAAGAATAGGAAACAAAGGAGTTTAAGTGAAAAGGGGCAAATCATCATGAATTCAAGCATGGTAACAACATCGGATTGTTGCTGCGAAATGTGGAGAACAATCTTATAATTAGTTGATCCTCCTGCAGTTCATCCTGATCTGCCCGTTGGATCCCGTCAGCGGCGTGATGTCCCCCATCTTAATCATTCCCTCCACAAAGTCCTTGAAGAAGGCGCTCTGGCTACTGACATACTCCCGGACTAGCGCGTCGGCAGCGCCACCGTTGAAGAGCTCCTGGTCTGAGTGCAGGAGGCCCCTCTTCTGAACGAGGTTTTTGTAGTAGTCGTTCTCGAAGACAGTCGGGGTCTGAAGGTCTAGCGGCGCTAGGTTGTTGTCCCCTGAGCCGGTAGCGCGAGGGCAGCCTGTCTGGCGGCTCCTGGCGAAGCCAGCATCAATGTTTGTGTCGTTGTAGATGTGATCCCGGAAGTTTGTGCAGCGTGCTAGGCCGACTGTGTGGGCTCCTGGAACACAAGTTATACCGTCAGCTCAAGTTATGTTACCGGATTTTCAGCTACTCTTTTGTCATTCCATCGGTAGGAATCATTCACCAACTTCCCTAATTAGTACCACATGTTTAAGTGACCAAGGAACAATTTTTTTGACGTTGTCCAGCCTTACAAATTAAGCGGACAGACCGAATGTTAAGTGAGTGGTAATTAGTCATCGATCAACTTTGTAACTCATCACCTGTAAAGTAGTATATTTTTGTCTTATGTAGAATTTTTGAGCTTTGGAGTCAAAACGTGGCCATTAGTACCGTTGGTTGATGGACGCGGATCCTCTGCCGTGCGGCAGGGTGCCGTTCGGCGATTGACAGGTGGGCTCGCTGTGAATCAGCCCCACATGCTAGTGTCCCCAACGGCGTGTAACGTACGTCAGGGAAGCTGCTTCCTTGGTTGATACCAGCTGTTTCGCGGCTAGAAAGCTACCGACTCCATTGAGAAATTAACAGTCTGAGAAAGTAGCACAGAATTTTAACTTGCTTCTTCAGCAAAGGAAAATATTATTTAGCCATGACAAATTATGTTGGTTCGGAGTGCAAACTGCAAAATTGTACTACCTGAGAGTGCGTAATTATTTATATATATGAAAGTAAAGTACGTAGAAAGAAGGGTTTTTTTTTGCATGGACGTAGAAGAAGTTTTTTTTTTGCGGGCGACGTAGAAGAAGGTTGATGGAAAATGTCAGCGGTTGATTTGGGATTATGTACCGATGTATCCAGAATTTGGGTTGGTCCGGCACAGCTTATACTTGGGACAACCACCAGTCCGGAGAGGCAAACGTTAAGGCAAGGCTGGATCGAGCCTTTGCAAACGAAGAGTTCAGACAATTATTCCAACATACAAGGGTCAGGCATCTCCCGTCTGTCGAGTCCGATCATTGTTTTGTTGTGACAGAGTTTCACAAAAGTTTGTCAGAGAGGTCAAAAAACAAGAAACAATTTCGATATGAGAACGTCTGGCAAACGCATGCTGATTATGATCGTCTAGTGGCTGATACATGGCGAGGCATCCAACATACACCAGGGCTGCGTGGTATAAGCAACGCACTGGGTACACTCCAGGATACCTTAGTGCCATGGGGAGCTAAGGAGTTTGGTTCTCTGACACGGACCATCCGCAATCTTCAGAAGAAGCTCGAGCGCATCCGGTGTCATTCGATGGGTAGGGGCCCATCAGACGAAGAGAGAAGGATAGTCCAGAAATTGAAGGAGGCACTCCACCAGGAAGAAGTGTGGTTCCGGCAGCGCTCTCGCGTCCCCTGGCTCCGAGAGGGGGATCGCAATACGCCATACTTCCAAGCGCAAGCCTCCCAGCGGAAACGCATGAACAAAATACAGGGACTCACGAGGGCTGATGGATCTGTGTGCGCGAACGAAGACGAGGATAAGGCTGAAGTGCAGAGCTTCTATCAAAACCTATACCAGTCACAGGGCTATTCGGACGCGGGAAATCTATTATCTCATGTTCCTGTCAAAGTGACAGAGGCCATGAATGACGAGTTAACAAAACCCTACACTCCCGAAAAGGTGAGGACGGCGCTATTTCAAATGGCGCCATCAAAAGCTCCCGGGGTGGATGGCTTCACTGCTGGGTTCTACCAAAGACATTGGGATCTGTTGGGCGAGGCAGTGACCCAGGCAGTTATGGACTTCCTAAATGGAGGTGAATTACCATCTGGCTTGAATGATACATCCATCACCCTTATACCAAAGGTTAGACACCCCCAAATGATCTCCCAATATCGCCCCATTGCTCTCTGTTCGGTCTTGTATAAAATAGCGGCCAAGGCAATCACTAACCGAATGAGAGGTATCATGGATAGCGTTATTAGCGAGGAGCAAAGCGCTTTTGTACCTGGCCGACTCATCACTGATAACGTCCTAGTTGCATATGAAAGTGTGCACACAATGAAGAGAAGGAAGAAAGGCAAAAAAATTTCTTGTGCGGTCAAGCTCGACATGATGAAGGCATATGACCGTGTCGAGTGGCATTTCCTTGAAGCAATATTGATCAGGCTTGGTTTCAATATTTCTTTTGTAAGGCTTATTTTGAAATGTGTCTCTGTCCGGTTCTCTGTGCGGGTTAATGGCGAGCTCCTGCCTTTTTTCACGCCTTCAAGAGGGTTCCGGCAAGGAGATCCAGTTTCGCCGTTTTTATTTCTTCTCTGTGCTGAAGGATTTTCCTCATTGCTCAAGTATTACAATGGAGGTGTTGTGGATAGAGGCTTAAGGGTGAGCTACAGATCACCTTGGGTAACTCATCTACTTTTTGTTGACGATAGCCTGATCTTCATTAATGCAAGCAACCCAAGTGCTATCCGTCTCAATGACATTCTGTCAATCTATGGTGAGGCCTCAGGTCAGTGTGTAAACCGTGAAAAAAGTGCTATCTATTTCAGTTCTAACACACCTGATTCTTTGAGGCAACTTTTGAAGTCAACTCTGAATATCCAAGTTGAAGCTTTCAGCGCAAAGTATCTCGGCCTCCCAACTGCTGTGGGACGCATCACAAGCGGCACTTTTGAACACATCAGTGAGAGAGCCCGTGGAAAAATTCAAGGATGGTCAGAAAAACTACTAGCTTGTGCCGGCCGCGAGGTTCTGTTGAAATCGGTCGTCCAGGCTATCCCGACCTATCCAATGAGTACTTTTCTTCTAACAAAGAAAGTCTGCAAGAGCTTAACTTCTCCTATGGCAAAATATTTCTGGAGCAATTCTCTGGATAAAAAATCTATGCATTGGGTGTCCTGGAACGAGTTGGCCACACCTAAGTGCAAAGGAGGGATGGGGTTCCGTGAACCACATCAGTTTAATCTTGCCATGCTGGGCAAACAGGGTTGGCGATTAATGACAAACCCAACATTGCTGTGTGCTAGAGTGCTCAAGGGCCGCTACTTTCCCGACGGAGATTTTATGCACGCATCTGCTCCAAAGTCGGCCTAGGCCACTTGGAAGGCAATCTTGGCGGGAAGGGAGGCTCTAGGGGCTGGGCTGATCGCTCGAGTGGGAGATGGCAGTACGATCTCAGTATGGAATGACAAATGGATTGCTGGAACGATCTCGATGAAACCAATCTTCAAACCGCCAAGTACCACCATTCAAATGGTGCATGAGCTTATTGATACGACCACGTGGTCGTGGCGGCAAGATGTGGTTAGGGACACTTTCGTCGCCCCGGACGCCGATGCCATTTTGAACATTCCGATCAGCCAAGGGGGAGGTGAGGACTCATTTGCGTGGGCATTCGAGAAATCAGGCAACTACACGGTGAAGACAGCGTACCATGCTCTAATGACTCATAAAGAGCGCTTGGCTCTGGAGGAAGGGACGGCTACCGGAACCTCAGTGGACGATCATCAGTTGTGGAAGGCCTTGTGGAAATTGAATGTCATACCGAAAGTGAGGGTTTTCTGGTGGAGAGTTCTTCGTGGGATTCTTCCGGATGAAGCTACTCTCAACTATCGTCACATTGCACCAATTAATCGATGCAAAGTCTGCTTAGCGATGAGAGAGGATCTGGAGCATGCTCTTATTCACTGCTCTCATGCGCAACGATTCTGGGACGAGGCCTGTGCTTGGTTTGACATCAGGCTGCCCCGACTCCATCCTGACTCATGGGCTCGCGACATCACATGTGATCCCCGTTTTTCCGATGATGACCGAGCAAAAATCACCACCGTAATGTGGTCCATATGGCACTCTCGAAATCGTATCAAGCATGGCGAAGAGGGAAGGGATCCAACATCGACAATTAGAGCGATCAAGGAGGCCCTTGCACTTCTTCAACTTCCACGTAAGGCAGCGGCTACGCTACCCGGCTATGGTTGGAGACCTCCTGATGATACTACGGTAAAAATCACGACGGACGGTGCACTGAACTTTGCTGAGGGGAGAGGCGGCGCAGGTGGTGTCGCCCGATCCTCATCAGCTCTGTTAGGTTCTTGGTGCAAGCCATATATGGGGATTTCAGACCCCTTGATTATGGAAGCTTTATCTCTGCGAGACGGGGTTTTATTCGCCACTCTTCGAGGCATCTTGCATGTGATAATGGAAATTGACTGCGCGGAGTTAGTGACACTCCGGAACACTCGTCACAGTTTTCGTTCAATTGTGGCTCCGATTCTGCTAGAAATAGGAGAGCTTAGTAATCACTTCATTTCCTTTGATATTCAGCATATTAGATCAGCAAACCTACCGGCGCATCTCCGTGCTAAGCATACTTGCACTCTGAATGTGACCGACTGTTGGATGGATGCAACTCCTAGCTTCCTAGTGACCAGCCTCATGGCTGACTGTCCTAGGAATGCTCTTATTTGAATAAAAGCTCTCTGGATTGCCCGCAAAAAAAAATATGTATATATGTACTACCTGAGTGCGACCATGTCTTTCTGGGAGAGCCCCTGCACGGCGAAGAGGGACGTAAGGTTGGCGAGCCCCGACGTCGGCGGCGGGATGTTGTTCTCGGCGCCGTTGAAGCTCGCCGTGGTCGAGTCTCTCCGCCCCATCTTCACCTCCCAGCTAGGGCCACCCAGCTGCACGTACACAACGCATGTCATGTCAGAGTAGTACAAGCTAGCTAAGCACGGCTTTATATATGTTTGGATACTTACGAAGACGACGCTCTCCTCGGCGGCGATGGCGAGGATGTCGGCGCAGGAGACGACCCCGGGACAACACTCCTCAACGGCCGCCTTGACGGCGTCGATGACCTCGAACCCTCTGGCGGAGTTTTTGTTGGGCGTGGCGTTCTTCTCGCCGCGCAGGCCCGGCGCGTCGTCCAGCTCCAGCAGCAGCGAGGCGTCGCAGCCCTGGACGAAGCAGTCGTGGAAGAAGAGGCGGACGATGGAGGCGCCCACGCGGCGCTCCGTGGCGATGGCCGGGTGCAGCGCCGAGCGCACGGCTTTGAGCATGCCCGGGCAGGAGCGGGAGTAGAATCCCGACGACAGCTGCGCCGACGCTCCTCCGCTGGCTATGGCGACCAGCGCGAGGATGAGCGAGAGGGCAACAATGGCGCGCGCCGCCATGATCGGTCTATGGGTGTTTGCTTATGATGCTACTCTATCGAGCGGTCTATTCTAGCTAGTCAGCCAGATAGTGCCTTGAGAGAGCTTGTTTGCTGGATGTGGTGGAGGAACGCGGGGCGGCCGGTATTTATAGGAAGAAAAGGTAGCTCACGCCGCTGGCCATGATTATCCTAGCTACCAGTCTGCCATCATATATTAGTATTAGATTGCATCATCATGCCCCCATCGTCTTCACCAACTCCGGTGGACTTTGAGCGTTGATCCAAACGGGCGCTCGCTTTGGAATAACGCGTTTCACACCAGATGCATATGTAACGTAGCTCGTGAAAAATGAACAGCTCTGTTCTGGGGAAAAGCTGTTGCATGCCGATCGACACTGTGGCATCGACGAAACGGTGAAGCAAAGAGCCATGTCAGTCATGCTTGCATGCATGGCTCGGCCAGTCGGCCTCCTTCATGTTGCTTTCCTTGGCTTCGGAAAACTACTAGCTGGCCAGCTGCCTTCCGCTACCGACAGTTTCTGCTAGCTACTCTGTACCCTGCGTCAAATTTAGGTCATTATTTTTAACACATACATGTGGACTTAAAGGTAGTTGACACTTTGAAACAGGAACAAAGTGGTATACATTAACACGCTGATTTATTTTGTTCCACGAGGAATGTCAAGGTTAGTTTACGTCTCCATCGGTAGGTAGCTCCGGAATAGTAAGATGATGATCCAGATCCGACCATCCCGTTGATTTTTCTCATGCATACTCTCTCAAGTTTCGAGGACAGACAGGCGGACCGGGTCTCCGGCGGCACCATTTCTCCCATATGCTCATCGCAGACACCGCAGGCACGCATGGTCATGGCCAAAACATTTATAGTAGTATTATCTTTGGCATGAACAATTCAAACGATAATTCTTTCCTCCAGGTAGCATGTATGTACTGCGTAGCCATGGCCGCCGAGGAGAGCGCTGTCTGTGGAGTAGGTCCGTATGTGAAAAGTATCTTATATCTGTCTGCTGAGTGCTGACCGTATAATACAAAAGAAAGGACTGTATAACGCCATACATCTTCTTTTTCAGGGATGGAGAACTCCTACTACACCATGCAAAAAAAAATAAAGAGAGAACTCCTACTACTTGATAGTATTTCTGCTTAGTCAAAGTGAGTATAATGCTTTTTAGGTTTGTCGTAATGGAGAGTATTATATACTAGTACTCCCTCCATTTTTGTATACGAAGCCACAAACCCATATTACATGTACCAAGATAAAAATTAATGCATGTTTAAGTCAATGTGGCAAGCTAGCTTGTCATCTTGTTTGTTGTGTTAATTGATGTGGTTTTTCTCTCCCGCGCACAACAAGGCAACCCTTTTACTCCTCATTGGTTGATAAATGTTGGAAATGCAAGCCAACCTTCTCACTCTCGCATGCATGCAAGGGATATTAATGTCCTCGGGTTCTAGACGAGGCAAACGCCATCAATTTTGCCTCAATTAATGTTAATGGCCTTGTATAGTTACAAATTATAATTTTGACAGTGGCCTTGTATACAAAAATGGAGGGAGTATCATGCATATGATATTAGTGCATGATACCACTTTCCTAATGCATAGTATCATAATTTAATATCTTAGGTTGCCTTAGTAATTGTCATGCATGACACAAAGTAATACAACATTTAATATAATACCACATCATCTCTTTTCTCATTTAATTGTGTGCCACATCATTCAAAAAGTCTAGTTGACATGCATGATACCGCTTATGATACTCACATTACAACCAGCCTTAGGCCCAGTTCACACAACATGCACCCACTTAATAACTAGTTTAGTTAGAACTTTCTAATTTGAGTGTTCTGTATTCGCAGATTTTCGTTTACTGACTCCAAGTATCCTAAGCATCGATGAAGAAGATTTCCACTGATGTTTATATTGTATCCCCTCTGTCTCACAATGTAAATTCAAAAAATGTCTTGCAATATGGGACGAAGGGTTGTTAGAATCTTATGCTTGGTTGCACTTTCCTGGCGACTCGGGAGTGTGCCGCCACCACCGCCTAGGTTCCCCCCTCTCGTCACCCTTCCCCTCGCCACCACAGACGGGCGCCACCGGGCAAAGCCCTTGTGGCGTAGGCGGTGGGGTGGGGGTGGGGTTGCTCGTGGCTTGGTGAGCGGGGCTCCATCCCCTCGTCAGCACCGTAGGGAGTAGGTCGCCCTCATGCCCCACGCCTTTCCCCGATGCCCAGCTTGATTCAATGGCATGGTCTCCATCGCTGGTGCCTCCGTGTGGTTCCTAGTATGGGCACCGTCTTCTGGCGGCGGATCTGGGAGCTCTTAGATCTGATCGGGGATGGAGGCTAGCCGGTGGCCCTGCGGGGTGGCGGTGGTGCTGCGAATGGCGGCCAGGCTTTGCCGGTCTGGTGTGGCAGGGGTGCCCGGCGCATCTGGCCAGGGCGTGGAAGTGCGAGATGATGTGGTGGTGGCTGGAGCGCCGGCGATGCTGAGGTGCTGGGGGAGTCGAGATCAGATGCACACGATGCTGGATGAAGGTTCGTTGAGCTGATCCATGTGAAAGCCCCGCTCTCGGCTAGGTGCCAAGGCCGGCGATGGTGACGCTTTCCGGTGTCGTCTCCTTCCTGAAGGCATCGCCCTGGAGAAGCTCAAGACCTCTATCCGCTACCTCCGGGGGAAACCCTAGATCAGTCGATCGGATGACGGCGGTGCTCTTGTGTCGTTGCCCCCTTGGGGGCGTCATTCTTGGAGGTGTGCACTGGCTCGAGGGACCAGTTGACGGTTTTAGCGCTGGAGCGGCATTTCATGTCACGCATCGACGATGTGGAGTCTTCGCAGCGTGGCGCAGCAGGGTCTCGGCAACGGATATGTGATGATGGACGTGCGTAGGGAGGTGGCGTTGTCTGGTGGCGTGGTGGCGTCGACGGCAGGCCTGGCAAGGTGGATGCGTCAGTTTTTGCTCTGAAGATGGATCGGTGGAAGACGGCGGCGGCGGCCACTGAGAGTGCGCCAGACCGGGGTGTGCCCCAGACCCGGCAACGACTTTGTTGGGGCCTCCGGCTTTAGATGTTAGGTTTTGGTGTGAGGTCTATTTGGTATTCGACTCAGACTTTCGGCGCCTCTTCATTAAGTTGATAGGAGTAGCGACAGATGTTGCCAAGTAGGTGCTTCAGACTTACTGATGTATCACTTTGTAAGATCTTTGTGAACCATTAATAAAATGATTACAATGCATCGTCCAGATGCAGAGGCCGGGGGTCATCCTCCTTTAAAAAAATGAGCTGGAGGGAGTAGATGCTAATATGCCTTGTTGGTTCGATAAGGATTCTATATATATGAAGTTTACATACCCGAAGCTTTTTGGGGGCAGAAACTCAGAATTGCTGTTTGCTTGTTTGCACGCAAGGTCTAGCTAGGTTCATATATTAATAACATTTCTGTAGAACTGTCTTTGAAAGGGACCGAGAAGCTTTCAAAGTAGCGGATTTAGTGAGAGTACTCCCTAAACTGGCAAATTAGTGCAAGTGGTGTTCTGTTCTGCTGCTTTACGGTTAGATAGATACCTTCTAGTCAAAAGGAATTCAATGCTGGTTGCTGGATGCAATGCAAATACTAGCGACTTTTGGATCCGACCGCACCGCAATCGCCGGAGGTTTGGCAGACCAAAATGCTGCACTTCTTCATGTATGCTGTTAAAGTATCAAAATGCTGCGGCAGCAGCTGAACTTCTCTGACCACAACTACTTGGCATTAAGAAAAATCAACGACAATATCTGGGTTAGCTCGCTGAATAATTTGTTTGTTGACTGTCGATCGACGAATATTATTTGTTTTGTTCGTTCGTACGTGCTTGTTGTTTGTTTCTGAGGAGCATTAACATAAGATGGCTGGCTAGGTAATCATATTTTTCGTGCAAGATCAGGCTAAACAAATGACAACACCAGTATATAAGGGTGTATTTGGTAGGTCGCATGCCGTTCATACAGACTTGAGGATGCAAATTCGACTTGTTCGGCAGCCTGAGCTGCGTCGAGTTCGTGGCCCGCACGAATCTTAAAGCAGCACCAGGCCTAGCTGAGGAGGAACGGCTGCATTATCCATTTTCCGCTGAATTGGTTGTCCGCTCTTCGTCTCCTTTGTTATTTGTTTTTTCGAAACGGAGGCAAAAAATTTGCCTCATCTATTAAATGAGGAGAAAAGAGTTTTAGAGTGTTACAAGAACCCACTGAAGCACGGCCTGACAATAACTCGCTTAATACAATTTTCGCTAGTTTCTTAGCACCGGCGGTAACCCATAGCTTAGCTTCGTCGGTAACAATTTATTTGAGGATGATTGGCAGCGGCGCGCTCTTGTGTCGGAAGACCCTAGCATTCCTCTCATTCCATACTACCCAAGTCACGAGCATGGTGAGGGAGGCCATCGCTCGACTATTGGGGTTGGCCAGTCGGTTCTCTTATCCCACCATTTGAAGAGGGATTCGTGGAGGTGCCAAGTGGTGGTGCCCATATGCGCAAGCCCATATTTTTCGATGACCATGTTCCAAAGCCGGGTAGTGGAGCAGCATTTGACGAAGAGGTGGGTGGTCGTCTCTTGCTCTCGCTTGCATGGAGGGCAAAGGCCACGCTTAGCCCAACCACAAAGCTCAAGTCGGTCAGGGATCCAAATCAATCCTTGCAAGGCGAGCCATGCGAAGAACTTGACCTTGGGGGGGGGGGGCAAACTTTCCACACCATGAAGTGCATAGGAGAGAGAGTCAAACCAAGGAACTGTGCCTTGTAAGCGGTGACCGCAGAGTAAAACCCATCCATGGAGTGCTTCCAAACAATGTCATCCTCGGCAAGATCATCAAGGTGGAAGTCATTAATAAGCATCCAAAGGGTGAAGAATTCGTGAATATGATTGTCGATGATGACGGTGTCCCGGTTGATCTTAAGCATCCAAGCATTCTCATTAAGAGCCTTTCTCACCTTCCAAGATTTCCTACTTGAGGCC